ATTGATACTGGCGTCAAAGCAACGACTTCAGTAATTGATTGTAGGCGAATCAGCGAAGCCTCTGGTAATTGATGCTGCTAGCAACAACTCCCATCATGAATGATGCTATGGATTAAAAAAATGATTTAAATAATATGGAAATATGTAATTAGTAATGACGATGATACCGCTAAAATTAAAGAAGCGATCATAACAAGCGGCTGCTGAAATATATAGGACTTATCTAGTTTTGCAGACTTTAAATTCTTTCCCTTGCGTCTAATGCTCGTCAGCTGAAAAAGTACTGCATCGGTGAATATTGAAATTACGCCGCTCAATACTCTTGGAGAACGATGTTGCAGGTATGTATCTATTCGATATGCATTAGTAGTACATGGTGGCCCCACATCGATGATTGAGGGCTAACCCTCCCCCTCAAAGGACAAATTTGTCTTACGTGGTGTTTATGGTTCACTGCGGGGTACACGGCAAAGTAATATGCAAATATTACAGCGAGAAAGACATAAGAGCTAATTACCTTTCTTTTCGGATTTTGCCATGTATTCAATAGGTTAATAGCCGCTACAAAAGCCTTCTTTATTACACGTCTGAACCTTTGATGGAAAAAGCGCATAAACTTCTTCTGGGGAATGGTAAACACTACCACTGAGAGTTCAATATGAGGATAATTGTGCGGGAAAGGGTCTTCTGGAGCATGTTATGGCCGTCAAGGATGAAAACGATGTCTCAGCAATGTGGCTTAATTGGACGACATGTCATTGAATATCATTGCGAAACACGTTGAGACTCAAAATCAAGGCGAGACTAGTGTCATGGAGGCATGGGTATCGCTACGTAATTTCTAAATCCGCTCGATACTACACAATTGCGTGACGACGAGTTCATGGGATGGAAAGCGGTATTAGCATTGCGGAACATCTAGACTCTTTGACGGGCTAGTTGCGGTTCTCCAGACAATTGGAGAGCGAGTTGATGATTCGCACCAGCTGCTGGTACTTCTCAGCAGTCTGACGTCAACGTATAATTGATCTCATCGATTGTGGAAGAAGCAAACAACATCACTTTGATTAATTTGACGGAATGCTGCCTTATGATCATAAAAGTTCACAGAAAGGTAGCTACAATGGGATGCTATGATATATGAAGATAGACGAGGCAACGTTCAAAAAATAAGCTTTGCGCCATAACGGCGGCGTTAATGGCAGGTTTTTAGCTGTGACCAGATTAGTCATGTAAAGCGGGACTCTGCGGTCGAAAGCCGTGTCAGCAATGATGATGTGGTATTTGCAGCGAGTGAAAGGCGAACGGCTGGATGATTTATCGGCAAAGGTTCCACATTTCAGATGAACCACACAAAGCACTAGTTCGATGACAAGGACATTTATTAAAGCTTCGAAGTAGCAATTGCAAATGGCAAAACGTTCCTCGTCAATGGAGCCGTCAAGGTTATATTGACCATATATATAATGACCTGACGGCAGGTTTTTGTCTGTTGGCAAGGTTGCAGAGCGGTATGAGTGTGTTGCTTAACGTTCATCGTCTGTCTCCTGGAACAAAGAAAAAAGGCTATCGCTTTGGGTTCAACAAACGGCAAAGCATACATACTCGACTGTAAGCCGAAAAAAGCATGTTACTTGGGGGTTTTGTGCTCTTCGTATGTCATCTGAAGCATCAAAAAGGCGATTGCATCGAGCTCAAAAATTGTTAAAGCGTTTATGCTCGTCTGTAAGCAGAGAGAAGCATGTTATGTGGAGTTCCCGGGGCTGATACTCAGTGGGAGCTTTCACATGCTTGTATCGGAAAACAAAATATGGACAGAATGCTCAAACAGAGGCATCCTGATGATCAAGCAAGAAACAGAAACGCTGTGTGTCAGTGTTTAAAGGAAATGCAGACAGTCAAGGTCAATTTCTTACATTGGATGACAAAGACGACGCGTATTCTTGTGCACGTGTACGCAAATTTAATGGGTCCAATGCGGACTTTGTCGATGTGAAGTACAGAATTTATCCTCATTTTTGTGGATTATATTTCACAATATGTTGTAATTTTCTTGATCAAAAGCAAGAAGGAAGAATTTGGCAAGTTCATGGCATTAAAGTCTCTTTACGATAATGAACGGTGTGCTCGTCTCAAATGCTTGCGATTTGACCTTGAAACAGAATTCGTGAACAAAGCAATATTAGACATATGTTGTTGGAGACGCATCGCCCAGAAACGCTCCGTTATATATATCCCTCAGAAAAATAAATTGGTGGAACTCATGAACAAGACTATCATGGAAAAGGCCCGCAGTATTCCTTGCAGCAAAATCGCTATAAATGAATGGTTGGCGGTAGCAGTGAACATAGCAGTTCATTTGATTAATAGCTTAACAGATACAACCTACCCGGCACCACGCCATAAGAGTTGACTTTCAAGAGGAAGCCTAAGATGGATCACTTATGCGTGTTCGGGGTGCAGGGTCACATCCATGTTGAAGACACAAAGAGAACAACCCTCGAGTCTAAAATTTACAAGTGGACGGTTCTCGGTTATGCGGAAAATGCCAAGGTTGTCGCGTATTTGACTTGTGAACTGCCAAGATTAAAGTGAATTCTCGATGGAGCTGGATGAGCATGAAGTAGGCAGCGTTTACAATACGCATGCGCTACAGCCAGAAGCGACCATTGAAGCTATAAAGGACAGTGATGATGGTTATTTCAAATCAAATGGATCGACAGCCAGTTCGGGGCGAGCCTATAGAATTGGTAGAAGGAACTGTCGGAGACGTCAAAATAAGCGCTGTTGATCATTCGTAAATGTCATGTTCAGCAGCTGATGCCTTCCGATCGTTACAATGAGAACAAATTGGAGCTAGCAGAGTTTCTTCATTCTTCATATGCGTCGAGAAGATCGTTCGGTGTCTTGGTCTGAGGTGGACCAAACAAGAGGAAGACATGAGCCGATGCTTATTCTTTAAAAACTTCAGGTGATAACGGGGCAACCCAAGAAAACAACACAAAAACGTGCTAGGAGTGACAGAGACGAATACATTACCGATGGCATTCTTGCGCACACGGTGAGAAGTGAGGATGAATAGGACTTACCAGCTACATATAATCAAGCAACGGCAAGCGACGATGCAGCGAAGTGGTGTGAAGCTGATGAAGATAAGCTTCGCTCCCATGAGCAGAAACAAACATGGATATTATAGCCAACAGGGAAGAACAATTGCACAATCGATACACGAGAGGTCTTTGCTAATACGCGCGATCAAAAATGGCATTGATTTGTGGTACATGGCACAACTTGTCGCGAAGGATTTTAAAGAAATGTATGGAGTCGATTTCTTCCAGACTCATTCCACCGTCGCCAATACTAATTCGATTCAGATGATACTTGCAGTGTGTGCTGAATGTGACAACCAAATGGAACGGCTGGATGTCAATGATAGTTATTTTAACAGTGCGCTTGTATTCAGCGCTTTATTTGGGTGTCGACAATGCTTATGTCATTTGATAAAGACTGCATACGGATTGATACAGGCAACAAGTACCTGGAACATAACAATACATCGTGGCTCTTTCAGATATTGTGAAAAGGGCTTGCTGAGTGGACAAGTGCGTAATGTCAAGCGATCCGTGGAAGATTTAATCCACGCTGAGCTAAATGTGCATGACAAGTTTGTCGCAACTTAAAAAAGTAAAGTGATCAATTAGGTTAGGAAAGTGCTTAGAGATGCTATCAAGATTAAGGGGCGGACAAGGCGGACCTCATTTTGGGCATGAAGATTGACTACGACAGGTCGGCTAAAACACTATTGGTAAAGCGGACAATGTGGTCAGACGATTTGTTCACCAAAAATCTTGCCCGTGTGCATCAGGATTGATATTGTCGTCAAGGCAGTTGCCTTCATCAAAAGATGATCGTTTGGCGATGCGCTCGAAACCATACTGATTCTTGATTGGATGCCTACTGTACAAAACATAATGTATTCGACCAGATTTTGCCATCGTGTTTACACAGCTGTCACGTTTCTTGGAGAACCCCGGGCTGCAATATTGAAGTTCAGCCAATCGCCTGAGACGCGGCATCATCTACCAATGCAGTGGTAACAGTGCGGTCAAGGTATATTCAAATGCTGATTGGGACAGCAATATCGATGACAGACGTACGGTCTCAGGGGTTGTGATCATGATTACAGGCGCGCCAGTGGTGTAAGAGTCACTGTACACGCAAATTGTTGCACTCAGTTTGGCAGAGGCTGAATATATGACTCTCAGCCATTGCACTGAAGAAATTCTTTTGACAGATGCGATGTTTAGCAACATAGGTCTCGAGCACAACTTTGGGAAGACAAACATAGGAGCGATTGCATTAGCCAACAACGGCTGATACCATGATCGACGAAGCTCGCGGGCATAAGGCACCAATTTAAACACCAGAATGTGCAAAAAGGAGTATTGAAAATCAACTGCATCAACGCGAAGCTCAGCTTGCAGATATGCTGACAAAGGCACTCTCGGAACCGAGATGTTTGTGTTGATAAGCGGGGCAGCGGGTATCAATACCGAATCAATACCGAGGATCAACGGCGAGTGGGAGTCTTGAAGTTACGCCACTCATTACTCTAGAAGAACGATGTTGCGGGTAGATGTATACTTAATATGCATAAGTAATATTTTTTGCACAGAAAACGAACTCAGATCAGCCTAATGGCTAACGCGTGGTTGTTGTTGCTCCATTGATGATTGAGAGTTGACCACCACCAAAAATCAATATTTAATTACATGGTGTTTATGGTTCACTGTGGGGTACGTAGCCGAAACCTACGTCCCCTCATCCCAAAAAGGCAATAATGTTGAATTTTAACAGAATAGCTGACTCATCGAAATCAATATCTTCTACTTCAAAATTGGCAGCTTGGCGGAATGAAGGCTTATATAGCCTCATCTCGACCAACGCAAGATCAAAAGCAAATTTGCTTCGCTGGTAGCGACCCCATTGGTCCCCGGAAGGTGCTCGCTGTTTTTAGCTAAAAATTGGTGATCACTAAACGTGATCCGGCATTGATTTAACGTCGCAAAAATCTTAAGGTTAAGCTAGACCACGACTCCCCAGGACATGAATTGGCTATGTGTATCTTGTTTTTGGGCAAAATAAAAATCAAATAGACGGCAAGTGCAGCGGGCCTGCCGTAGATCTTTGCTTAGAGGAAACTAAGCTAAGGTCACCAACCATACGTCTTTCCAAGAACCAGTACGAGTGTAGCGGATCGCAATCCGTGACTCTAAAGTATTAAAGCCTTACCAAGGCAAACGAACACTTCTGTTCAAAAACGAAAACTGAATTTGATTGTTTTAGTTGCGGCAGAGCCGCCACTACTTAAAACCCTAGGTTTTTTTACTAATATGGTAATCCCAGTTAATATACCAAAGCCTAATTAGTATAGTAATATGCATTACTACTGACAATCCTGCCACATGGTGCTTCTTGTTACGGTGTAACCACACCACAGTGTTATTACACTAATTGTGTAATACACACTTATGTATGGTCGCACAATCTTGTGCAACCCGCCCTTTCTCGCTAGAGCACGTGTAGTCTCGTTACACCCCCAGATCAAAATTGTGAAGTTTCACATTTAACGGTCGCCTCATACGTGGCTCGCGTGTCTGAGACACCTTCACGTCTATGAGAATAACTTTAAACCTTCTCCACTCTATGAGCACTGTGTCTACGACACACAGACCAGCCAGCCTAGATGGTAGAGAGACCGGCCGCGGGCAAAGCTCTTCTTCTTTTGCTCTTCTGCACAGGGTGCATACCCGGACAGTACGTCCATGGCGTCACACGATGGACATCCCAAGCCCTCGGCAACAGGGCGCGATAAAACGCGCCCGCCCCGCGTGACGGATTTCCTCGTCGCTGAGTCGGAGGAAGTTGACTACGAGTCGGACACTCATTTCCCAGCATGGGATGTTGAGGAAGATGAAGTGCGTCAACGGTGCGACGTGAGCCCAGCTCAAACCCTGCGAACACCATGTTCATTCCCCGACCTCTCGGATTCCGTGAAAAGTGGTATTATTACCAATCGCCTCGACAAGGCACAGGAGCAGCAATTGAAGGCTGCGCACAGGGCGGCTCTCCTGCGCTCGTATCTACGTTCGGTGTTAGACCCTCGTGTGAACTACGACTTCCGCTCGGCGATTCCGCGACTGAAGCGAACGACGTGATCACTCGGTCGTAGGCGTCTACATAATCGAGCCTCGCCTCCGGCCACTACACTAGCTGAGCTTGGTCAGCGTAAAGCTATGCGAGATCGCTTTTCAGTACCCCAAAAGATTCCAATGGATCGGTACCTCGCTCGACTTCGAGCTCAAAAAGGGAGTGCTCTTGTTCCCGCAATGAGGACCATTCCTGTTGTGCTCGCCCCTGGCGAAACCGCTGTAGATGCCGATAAGCTCTTTGAGTGATGGGTGCAGCGGCATTCTACACAGCAGAGCTACAATGAAGTGGACGTGCGAGTTGAGCGCCATATTAGATTTGAGTTTGTCAAACTTGAGGCGCAACGCCGACTTCCTGCGTATTGTCGCCCTGCAACACATGGAAGTATCCAATACGCTCCTGCAGGCTATGTGGTTTCTCACACGGGTGAGACTACGACCACAGCCGCTCAGGGCCATATCTTGAGCTCGGCATACATTCTGTTTTCCCAGGCTTCTGCCGAGGAGCGCGGTGCTCAAGACGACGCGAAGCGTCATGATTCTTCTGACTATAGGCGTTTCCGACGTCTGGGTAGTCTTGCCGAAGTGGCACCTCAGACTCCCACGAGTCGGAATTTAAGCATCCCCGCCACTTCACAAGATATTGGGTTAGACCCCGTGACGTGGTCGACCCACAAGGCGTCCACGTGGTAGTGGACGCCAACATTTTCGTCGAGAACAGTCGGTGACGAACGATGACGACTTGGTCGATCTCCGTCCGGTGACTCGCGTTGGTCTTCGAGCGTTGTGGGACTAAATCCGTATTCATCGGTATTCTGCCAAGCATCTTTCCGAGGCCGTCTACCGCTTTGCGGAAGTCCTCGGGAGCCTAGAGCACTATGTGCACCGACTGCCTCGCGTTGAGGATTATCTTCCTTTGTCGGAGCGGCTCCTAGCCGTCGAGCAGGCGAATACGTAACTTCGTGCGACGGTGGAGCGCATTGCACCGTTGAAAACGAAAATTATTGCACTCTGTGCTCAGAAACAGTCGCTGATTCAACTTCTGGGTGGCCGAACGCTTTTGGGCGCCTCCTCGGCGCCAACGCTTTCGCGTTCACTTGCGCCGGATCCCGAACGGCTTAAGCAAGTCCACATTAAACACCAGGTGGGTGCGCATCATTCTCGGTAGGTTCAGTGTATACGCTAGGCCTCGCTTGGTCACTAACTTAACAGATCCATTAAATCGTGAACGGATTTTCGACTTAAAGACAGAAGAAACTGCATGTGTATGAAGGTTTTTAGCGCTTATTAAAAACAGCACTCCAAACTTAATATCCTCAACATTTCTTCTGCTTTTTCCGTCTGCATATTCTTTCTGTATGTCTCGGCTTTCAGCCATCGCATCTCGGATGTGTCGTAAGACACTCAGTCTAGTGAACAGGAAGTCTTCGACTTCTTTACGCATGGTGAGGTGATTGACATCAGCTAGCCGTTCGACTATTCCTTCCCCGCCAAGCCCTGAGCCATGGGATGGACGCGTCAGCTGGACGCGAGAGTTAAAACGCCCGTTCACGCAGCCGTTAGATGAATGCACTGCATTGTTCAGAGCAAGCTCTATGAGTGGCAATATAGCGCTCCAGCGCCTCGGCGTCTCAGCGCAGATGCTGCAGAAAATGTCTCCAACAACGCGATTCACGCGATCAGTCTGACCATCGGTCTGCGGAAAGTCCGCTGTTGACGTAGTCAACTTGGTGTCCAGCACCCTGACGATTGTAGACCAAAACTTTCCCGTGAAGCGAGGATCTCTATCAATGACAATTGACCCCGGAAGTCCATGTCGTCGAAATACACGATCAACAAACAGCATAGCTGTACCAGGTGTCCGGCACTACCGCTAGATGAGCCATCTTGCTCAAACGGTCCACCAAGACCACCACTCCCATGTTGCCTGTCAGGTCTTTCAGCAGGCCAGACACAATGTCCATACTCATGCGAAGGGTACCGGTAAACTGGCCAGAGGCACCGCCGCATTCGTATAGGGTTTCACCCTCTGATACGGCTCACACGTGCGCACATAAGTGCTTGTCCACTTGTACAGCCTGAGCTACCGATAGTGGCAACTCACCGAGCTGTACGTCATCTCACAACCGAGAAAACCAGGTCGCGCGCCTCATAAAGTATGCGGTATTTGAATTAGGAGCCACAATTTGTGGGGTATCCGTCGAATCGGTGCCATAATACAGCAATTGGTTTTAACAAATATCGGTGTAACTGAGCGCGAAATCGGGTCGAGAATTCTTGTCCGACTTTCCAAACTCTTAGCTTCCGAGAACCTGTAGCAGCACTACACACATACTGAAAGGGGGGTTTCACGAA